GTTTGTATATATATTTATATATTTATATATATTTATAATAATTATTATTAAGGATATGAAATTCAGGATTTATGGGTTTTGTTGGTTTTAAAGGAAACTTGCAATACTCTGTCTCCTAAGCGGTATCCATTAAGGCTGGCAATTGCCATAGCAGCTTCATCGTAGTTGGTCATGGTGACAAAGCCAAAACCTTTGCATTTGTTGGTATTGAAGTCGCGGATCACCTTGACATTATTGACTGCTCCAAAGGGGCCAAACAGCTGCCACAGCACACTTTCATCTGAGTCGGGTGATAAATTGTAGACAAAAATACACCATCCAGTCCCAGTATGGCCAGGAATATTCATTCCCACAAGGCTTGTCATCCCATCAATTGTGATTGGAGAAAACCTACCAGATTAATGTTGAAGAAAGAAAAAAGAAGACAAAAAGGAATACTAACCTAAAGATCAATTTTCAAGTATGAATTTTCATGAAACTAAATTCCAGAACTTTCCCCAAAGCCTGTGAATAATACATATAATATATCACAACCAGATATCCAAGTATTATTAAATATACCCCATGGAGAATATGGTGAAACTAAGGACCTCTACTTAAAAGGATACAGTGTGTTAACAAATAATAATAATAAAAATTCACTAAATGTTTTTGTATTTGTGAAAATGGCACATTGAATGTGTATATGCATATCCGTGTGCACATAAATTTACCCAATAAATGTACTGAAAACAATGAATAGCCTAGAAAGAACTATGGCATTTTTCAATTGGTCTCCCACCAAATGTGGTGCAAATTTGTGTAACAGAAATTTTCCCACTCAGAATAGTACATGTGTGCATGTGTGTGTTCATACACTAAAACTGATACTTGCTTGTTTTCTACCGTATACTAGATGTATTATTTACTACACCATCAACATAATAAAATTTAGTATTTCAAGTATCTAGAATAGTTCTTAGATTAAGATGATGAAGAGCTGTTCATGGATACCTACATCATATATAATCTTTAGATAATTTTTTTTCCGGTCCAGGAGCTCTGTATTATCTACTTCAAAACTTACCACATAAGGATAAGGTAGCCTGTAGTATCTAATCATGCAAAAAAACATCTCCAGAGCTACCCAGAAATCAAGGAGTAAAAAAAATATCTAATTATAAAGCTTGACAATGTTCAGGATATTTAAACACAATTGTTGCCCACATAAATTCAAGCACCATGTGGTAAGCTTTGAATTGGTCATCATATAGTTTAGTCATCTGAATTTAGTTTTAAACATACACAGTCAATTCTGAAGTTCAACACAGTTATCTGTGGAAAATCTGCTGCATAATAATGGTGTGATTTTTCTTGAAAATGTTCCCAGTTATATTCAGAATTCATGTTACTTTATTTTGTGTATTTATATCCTGTCTTTCCTCCAGGAACTCATCTCTCCCATTTTAAGCTCACAATTATTGGTGAAATGCAGTAGGCTAAAAGACAGCAATTGGTCCAAAGACACTAACTTCAAAGTTGGATAAGATTCCATATGTAGGTTTCCTGAGGGCTAGGAAGAGTCATTCATAGTAACTACAGCGTTGTACAATAAACTGGCAATATCTTCCTAATTTGTGACTGAACAACAATAATTCATGATTCAAATTAACTATAAATTGTGCTATATAACCTTGTTTCACTTCAGATCAATAAGAACAGTTGCTGTGATGCTAAGGATAAAGAACTAGAAAACCCATTGGAATTTTTAAAAAAGTAGCACTTCAATAATGGCATGAATAACATTTAACTAGAAAAATAATTCCACAAATATGGCCCCCAGAGGAATTCTTTTTTTCTTGTGGCGTAACCATAAACATAAGCACTGAGACAGAGAACTGAGATTATTTTTCCTTAAATAGTTTACCATTAGTAGAGTTTACTATTTTAATGCAAAACCAGCTTCTTTTAGATATCTTTTAATACGTATGTATTTTAACAACAATTATATGTTGACCTAAGTGAAACATGTTGTGTTGGGGGAATAAAATGCTATAGATAACTGTGGGCCAGAAAATCTCTCAAGAGTAACTACACAGTGACAACAAAATTAAGTTTTTAGTTGAACTGTAAATCCTAATGTCAATGAATAAGATATAAATTAGCATTCAAAATCATATTTACACTGCAACCAATATATGGCTGAGTAAAGCCAAATAACATGGATACATGACACAAATAAAAAAATAAGAGTGCATGAAAAAGTGATGAGAATTGTTCCCATTGAAACCTACCTATACCTAGTGGTAGTATTAGCTGGTGCACAAGGAGACAAAAAATTCAGGTATGATTGTTATATGGCTGGGTTGTTGCAGTCTGGGAACTGGAGAAAATATATTAGTTCAGCAATCATCAGCTTGGATATTAAGGCACTTAAGCCTGAAATCTGAGAGACTCAACTCAACTTCATTCCGTGGATCAGCTGCAAGGCATCAGAAAGCCCATAGTAGATATTCTGATTTTGATTTTGCCTTTAAATAAAGACTGTGACTGTGGCGGTTAGTGATGGAGTTGCTGGTCCCAATTGTGGTCGCTAAGTGAGGACTGCCTGTATATTTAACAGGTGTCTGAGGTTATTAACCACCTTGTTAACTGGTCCTACAATCAAACTGCTTTTACTTTTAGAAAACTTTCCTTGACATTCAGTCAGAAACTTTTTGTAAACCAATGTCTAAGATGTATACTCTAGCACAACAGAAAACAGATTTTGTCTTTCTGTGACTTAATCTCTTTAGTTATTTAAAAAGTGCTATCAGATTATTCCACAGTCATCCATTCTCAAAGCTCAAAACTTCAATTCTCAGCTTTTCGGCTAGGAATATAGCCAAATATAGTATCTAATATTCCTCAGCTTTTCTTCATAAGGTTTAGTTCTCAGGAACCTGACTATCCTTGTCTCTGATCTGCTCCTTGTGATGCCAATATATGAATACACTATTTGATGTGGAGTCTGACCAATGCAGAATATAGCAGAAATATTATTTATTATTCACTGGGCTTATATCCTGCCTTTCCTCAAAAGAATGTACATTCAGTCAAACATTTTTTTCCTTACAGCAACAACCCTTGTTCCTTTGAAGTGCTTTGTGATTAAGCAGCCTATGAATGGAATAAATAAAAATAAGTAAACCCAAATAAGAAGGCTATATTGAGAGATATGGCTAGCCCAAAGTCATCCATGGCTGAATTTGGATATCCCCTCTTCTAAATTAACATCTTAATAATATACTACTTCATGTGATTATTAGATCATCTGATTTGGCTATTTCTATTGATGAAGCATAAAATTGCTTTCACCTTTTAGCTGCTATGTCATTACAACTATGTGATTTTTATTTTCTGATCTTCAATCTAAGATCCTTTTAATGTTCCTATCAAGTCAAATGTTCCCAGTGCACGTCTTTTTTTTTTTTGTAAATTACATGTCTTGACTCAATTTCTCATTGTTATTTCTACTTCTCTAACTTACCAATTTTGAATTTTGTTTCTGTCTTCAAGTATATTAGCCATCCTACCCAGTTTTGTGTCAGAGGCAAATTTCACAAGCTTTCTTTCAATGAAAATGTTGAAGAGTGGTGCCCAAAAATGGAACCCTGTAGTACGTCCTCAGTTTCATGAGGAATAATCAATGAGCACTTTCTGAGCACAATTTTCTAAACATGTCAGTGTGTTCACACTGAGTAAACACGCTACTTCAAATGTAATTGAGAAGTTTGTCCAGTGCTTTGCTGACATACATATTTACCATGCTATTCCTTTTTGGGAAAAGTAATATTATGCAAAGCACAGAGAAAGAATAAAATAGAAGAGAATATATGTGGCTCAGGATTGAACTGTAGAATCCTTGCAGTTCTCTGAGCTTGGTTGTTTTCTTGTAGATGTTTCATTACCCAACTAGGTAACATCTTCAGTGCTAGAGGGACTGAAGTGTTACCTTCTAGCACCGAAGATGTTACATAGTTGGGTAATGAAACATTTGCAAGAAAACAGCCAAGCTCAGCGAACCCAAAGGACTCTAAAGAATAAAAAGGAAGAAGGATATAAGATAAATAAAATTTACACCAACAGCATTCACTGTACCTCTCCATACATTTCTGTCCTTGCAAACCATGCTTGCTTCCAATAAAAACACACACTAATTCATACGTTGCCATTTGTTCTTTAAACTTATTATCTCTCTTTTGAAGATCTCATCAACTCTTGGTCTTGCCTTCCTTTCAGCCTGTTGCATTGCTTCAACCATTCTCTTTCTCTGACCAAATAACATCAATATATTTCTCTGGTACTGATAACTCACTTTTGTATTCAATCCATATTCATTAATCACCCCTTCATTCTTAATCCCATCTCTTGTTTTACGACACACACTTTTAAAATGTGCACACCACCTAATATAACATTGTAGTATACTTTCCAATTTTTGCTCAATGTCACCTCTTGTACTGTTTCAGTCAGAATCTGCCAAAAAATTCCCTAGACACACTTAACTAACAAATGACTTGTAGCTTTTACATTCAATCTTGTTACTCTTCTGAAAGAATTATGCAGTTGTTCTTTGTGCAATCATGATTCAGACTTCACATATGTTAAACAAGTTGTGCAGCCACTCCATAAACAATACACCTCAGATTTTAACATTTGTCCAGTTACCCCATCTATGCCTGCAGCTCTGTAATTTTTCAACATTTTCAAGCATTTATGACAGGGATACTTGTCAGTGGGCTTATTTAATTTTGGCACATGTTTTGCTTTATCCCTAATCTTTGCTTCTGTGAGACAGTATATCTCTCAAACCAGAAGATCCAGCCACTACATTTTCTCTTCCAGCTTTTCTTGTTTTGCAGACAAGAAAACCTCTCTTTTGCTGTGGCTCCTCCTATGGGCTTTCAACTAGTTTCCCCCATGAAAGATTGATAGCAATTTCTGAGTTCCAATGGTGCCCAGTATCTTCTATGTCTTTTTTTAAGTGGGGCTAGGCGGGGGGGGGGGGGTTACTTTTTTGGGTTTTTTTAACCCAAGATTTGTATAACAAGACAGGGCAGGATGATGGAGTACAGATATGGCTCACTTACTCATAGTAGCCCATTTTGGAGTTTTATCAGCCCTG